CCCCTGGTAAAATAAAGAAAATTTATTTATTTTTTTTGCCTGGAGTTTGCGGTGATTTCATTGTCCCCGTTTGCTTTATTCATGGATAAAACTTGTTGCAAAATGTCAGTTGGGAGTAAAGACGGAGTGAAACGCAGCTTGGGGTTACTGAAGAGGAGCATTTTGTCTGTTGGATTTGAGGTTTAATGGAAGTTTAAGCGAGCGTTTCTGTCTTGTTGGCTTGGATTTCTGCTCTCTGCTTTTGGGTGGCTCTCCTGTTAGCCGAGATCGTCATCTCTGTTGCAGTAATACGTCTGGTGGTTGTGATGCATTTGAAGAATTGCTTTATWTCTTCCGAAGCTGTTTTGCTAATGACTATTTAATACTCCCATGTGGCAAAAAATAGTGACGTAAGATTCATTTTATGATATTCAACAGTCTGCTCTTGAAGCTTTTTTAGTAAGAGCAGTAAATAACATGGAGTGGCCCCTTCAGGCAACATTGAAATTGCTGTGTCTGAGTGTATGAATGAAGAAAATGGGAATTTCGTTCCAGCTGAGGAAAACCTGGACTATTTTTTTAATACAGACTTGTCAAAAATGTATGTATATAAATTACAGAGCTATGCTKCAATTCTGTAGCCTTTGCTCTCTGCTTTTGTAGGTTGCTTAGTGGCACTGCCATTTTGTTGAGCAGGCAGCTTTCAGTATTGCTGTGTCACCTGTGTAGCTAGAGCAACTTGGACCTTTTCTATTCAAGAAAAATGTCATCCAGTTGTTGGTCCCTCTGTGAATGTCACAAGATAATGTATTTTTTAAAAGATAACCAATTAACCAGCTAGGATAGTTAATATGAGTTAAGTTAACCATGGGGCAGCAAGTTAACCAGGAGGCAGCAGTGCCCGTGTGGCCAAGAAGGTCAATGGGCTCCTGGCTGCATGAGGAGGATGGTGCCGGCAGGGCAGGGAGGGATCTTGCCCCTCTCCTCAGCTCTGGGGAGGCCAAACCTGGAGCACTGGGGGCAGCTCTGGGCTCCCCAGCACCAGGGGGATGTGGAACCTCCAAGAGAGGATCCAGCAGAGAGCGACAGAGATGATGAAGGGACTGGAGCATCTCTCATATGAGGAAGGACTAAGCAAGCTGGGTCTGTTTAGTCTGAAGAAGAGAAGGTTGAGAGGAGATTGATCAGTAGGTACTAATACCTGAAGGGAGAACGTAGGGAGAAAGGGGCCAAGCTCTTCTCAGTGGTGGCCAGTGACAGGACAAGGGGCAGTGGGTACAAATTGCAACACAGGCAKTTCCATCTGCATGTGAGGAAGAACTTGTGCAGTGGGAGGGTGCCCGAGCCCTGGCACAGGCTGCYCRGGGAGGTTGTGGAGKCTCCTTCTCTGGAGACCTTCAAAATCCACCTGGGTGTCCCCCTGTGCCCTGTTTGTGTCCCAGTTTGAGCAGAGGGTTGGACTAGATGATCTCTAGAGGTCCCTTCCAACCCCAACCATTCTGTGATTCTGTAATATGATGACATGAAAGCAGAATTTTGACTGCTCTATTTCATCCATGGGTTTATTGTCCTCASATTTTCTTCAGRGATCTGGCTAGTCCTTGAGCAACGYGGAAAAGTGGCACTTGGGGGAGCTTGTTAGAAGGGAGGAAGTTGTGTGAAACTCTCTTCCTTTTATTTTGGGAGTGGAGAAGGAGGATGAAGACGTGAAAGCAAACACATGTTTTTGGCAATAGATTCGCTAAATAATCTCAAATACTGTGACCAACAGTTGAAAGCTGTACCACTCTTCTGTTTGCGGTTATGCCACCTTAACAGTATTGGTGTTGCTAATCTCAGCATAATTTATGGATTCCCTCTTAATATTGTTTATTTTTTTAAGGAAATTAGATTGCTCTCATTTAAAATATCTCGCACCCCTAAAGGGGAAAAGTGAAGGGAAAATTTATTCACTCTCCTTGTAGAATTCTTAAAACATCCTGCTTTAAAAGGCAGAAATGCCCTGCTGAGTGGAGAAATATATATATATTTTCTCTCTTCACTGCTCAGAAATGCACAAAGAAATCTGGAAATGTTTTATGTTGATAATATGTGAAATGTCATTCCTGTTTATTCCTTTGCATCACCTGGAGAGGGCTTTAGTGACATGAGATACATATGGCCAAGCAATCTCAAGCTGTATCTGAAATAAGAAAAGCATCCAAGGTCTTTGTCACTGATTCCTTTCTTTCCTGCTTCATGGATGTTTGAGATAGATATGTATAAAAAAAGACTTCTCAATATCTCACCTGCATATTTCCTTTCCTTCCTTCTTTCCTATCTTTTAGCTTTTTTCTACAGTCCTGTAAGTACCTGTTAAAGAATTTATTGCAAATAAAAGAATGYTATTGTGTAGAAAACCATGAATGTTGGATTTCCCTCTTTTTTTTTTTTTTTTTCTCTCCCTATAGAATATAAAAATACATGTTTGTCTTCTGTAGTCGTGACAAGTAGAATGAGTTCAGACAAAGTGGATTTTTAGGGGAGGTTTCTTCCAAAGGCAGGTTCCTCAAGAGATCCTTGCACAGCTTGGGAAGTACYCCCTGAAACGGAGGTGGAGGCTGACGCAGGGCCCAAACGAGAAGAGTGGGAGCGAGCACCACACCCTGGCTTTCCTTTTAGAAAATGTTTCTATAAATGCCCCCTCCGGCTTCTTTTCTTTCCTCTCTTTGTCTCTCTCCTCTTTTTTTTTTTTTTTTCCCCTGCTTCCCAGCTCTTAAATCTGCCACTCCTCCTCTTCCTCCTCCTCCTCCTCCTCCTCTCCCAGAAATTAGATATCTCCTTGCTGTTACAGATGGAGTCTGCTGACAGTTTGCTTCTCCCTTTGGTACCTTTCTGCACTGCTAGCCAATCTGAGTGGTGTTTTAAGTGCTTATTTGCTCTGGGAAATTAGAGAGGCTGGCGAGGTTCAGCCGTTCCACRTCTACAGACCTTGTTGAAAATTTGCACCTGAATTCTTCAGAAAAGTGTTATATCTACAAGAGAAGAAGGGTAAAGAATGAAGATGAAGTTATGGACGAAGCATTCRGCGATTCCAAGCATAAAAAGATACAGGTGCCAAGCACTATCCAGGAGCTCAGTGCTGATCTTCCAWGGCCGCTTTATCAATAGCACTAAGAGGTTGAAAGGGGCTCCAAAAATGAGTCTTTTCCATTTTGACCATGTTCAAACATTCAGATATTTATAACTGCTGCTTTTGGTTTACACAAAAATATTTAGATGAAGTCATTAGCTTTGGTACTAGTTTTTTCTCAAGTATTTTTCTTCTGAAACAAACCTTCTTTGGGCAACTTCTACAAGGAACTATGTGGTTTGTTGCCTGTGCCTTGCATTTTTAGTACATTACTATTTTTAAAAGTAAAATACAGTAGCAGAATTTTTTGCCTACTACACAAATATGCCACACAAATGTCTGCTGTGTYGTGCTGTATGTCTAGAAATGAGGCTTTGTGCCCAAGGGTTGAACATAAGACTTAATTCTAAGGTTGCAACAAGGAAAACTTGGTGTGTCTAAAGTCTTTTAAAAAATACTTGAGAAAAAAACTATCTTTTTTTTTCTTTATTTTTTCACCTGGACTGAGATTTGGAAATCCTTGTTCTTGATGCATCTATTGATGTAGAAAGGCAACAGGACAGAGCTAAAATGGTTTTCGTGACTGATGAGCCGGCAGCTGGGTATTCTAATCATTCTGGATCTGACATCAAGACAGTGAAGTCTACTCCAGCTAATTGGGGGTCTCCTGGTGAGAACCCCCCCATTTTGTTCTTACAGCTCTCAAGCTGCCTTGTCACTGCACGGGTTGTTTTGGGCTTAGATTGTTCTGCTGAGAATCCAGGAGTTTCGGGGGAAGATGTCCTCGTTCAGGCACAGAATCACACAATTGTTGTGGTTGGAGAAGACCTTGAAATCGAGTTCAGCCGTAAGCCCTTCCACACCATGAGCATTAAACCATATCCTTAAGTGCCTCATCKACACGTTCCTTGAGTGGTGACTCCACCACTTCCCTGGACAGCCTGTTCCAATGCTTGACTGCTCCTTCCATGCAGATTTTTTTCCTAATATCTAACCAGAACCTCCCCTGTTCCAGCTTGAGGCCCTTTCCTCTTGTCCTAATGAGACAAACTCTTTAAGCAGGAAAAATTCTCTCTCCCAATGGACTTAAAGGTCTTTTGTCATTCTTACCTTGGCCTTTGGGATGGTCAGAACTAGCTTCTGGACTGACAAAGTTCTATCTGTCTGTTCGCTCTTTTGAATTTTTTAATATTCACAGGCAAAAAAGTCTGTATTTACTGATGAAGATTCTCTTMATTCTGCTTTATGAAGCGCTCTACTTGCTAGAGCTTGACTTGCATCCCTCTAAGTTCTTTAGAGCTTCTGCTTGGACCTCGAGCACACTTGCTCTTCATCTCTTTGAAGTGGACAACCTTCGTAGTCTATATGTGCTAAAAATAAGCGAGTAGGTGAGCTATAGACATAGGCTTGGTCATCTCATGTCTCATTCCCCAAAGTAAATATATTCTACATATTAACTTCCTTCCGCTGTGTGTGTCTGAAATAACTTCAGCTTCTGTCTTTGCTATGCAACTGATCTGCTGGGGTTTTCAAAAGCTTTTCTAAAATTCGTAGTTCCCAATGCTAAGTAAGAGCATCGGAAAGCAAAAAAATCCGACTTGTCTGTGAAATCTAGAGGTAAAGAACTATTTCCCATTTCAGAGAGTCTCTGTAAATAGTAGAAGAGAATAATTCAAGGTGTTTTCTGGGTCTTCTAAAGTGTTTTTTATCTGCAAAGGATGTCATTCCTTGCTGCTCTGTAATGTGATAGCTGGGTATTATTTTCAGACAGTCTGATATGTTGAATTACTAGCTCCAAAACAGTAGTAAGCAAGTCAGTATAATTTTTGCCAGTGAAGTTCCTGAAGGTTAGATACAGCCTTTTTCACTAGTTAATGTGCTTCTAAGGCACAGCACTGGGAATACGATTCACTGATGTGCTTTAATTAATATATCCATGCTGGGTTCGCTTACACGACCTTTCTTTTTCTTTTCTCTTTTCTTTGTTTTGTTAAGCATTGCAGGCTGTATGTACCGAGTAGTTCAGACAACGGGACCAGATGGAAAAAACCTTCTGAAATTGCTTCCAATTTCTAAATCCTCAGCAAGCTTTGTGCCGATAGTTCAGTCGTCAGCCATGCCAAATAATCCTAAAGCGAATATATCTAGCCCGGTTCATCTTACTTTTAAGACCCAGCTTCCCAATTCTACTACAGCTTCATCTGTTAAGATACCTGTTTTTCAGTCTGCTAATCCAGGAAAGATTATTCTTACAAGGACAGTAGACAAGCAGGAAAGTGTTAGAGCACCTTCTGAAAAGGAAAGCTTGACTGCGAAATCGGCTGCTAACGTCCAGAGCGGTTGTGTTTCAGTCGATAGACTGTCTTTACAGAACATTGCTGTAACAAGTTCATCTAACCAGACTAACACTGCATACATGTTGCTAAACACAAAGAGTCTCCCAGTGTCTGTGAAAACTCCCATGCTGCCCACTGGCCACCACCTCCAGATACCAGCTGATGCAGAGGTGAAGTCTGTCCCAGCCTCTTTTCTACCGCCCGCAATACAGCAAAAAATACTCGCAGCTGCAGCAACGAATGCGTCTGGAGGAGCAGACAGCACGAAGATGCCGACTGTTATTTATGTGTCGCCAGTGAACACGGTGAAAACGATGCTCCCCAAGCGTCTGCAAACCATTTGCCCCAGGCCCAGCACGGAAGTTTCGAAGCCACTGGTAATGACAGCTGCACAAAAGGCGAGTAGCTCTCATCCAGAGACAGGGACGTCTGATGGGCAGCAGGGCCAGCAAGGTCCGGTGAAATGGATTGTGCAGTCGCGTGCCCAGCCGTCAGCRCCTTGCCTTATTCCTGTAAAGTCATCCAATAACGTGGCTTCCAAAATCCTGAAAACATTAGCGGACATGAAGAATGTAGAAGTCAATTCTGCAAACATTTTGCCGCTCTGTTCCAGTAGCCCTGGTGGAAGCCAAGCAAAACTCACCTCTATTAAAGATAACGCTCTGGTCATGTGCAACGGGAAGGTCTATTTGTTGACTAAAAGAGGCTCTGATGTTTTGACAGCCCAAGCTGACAAACAGGCGTTGTCTTCGTCTGATGTTTCACTTAGAAAGGAGGCGTCCAAACTAATGGATTCTGATGCAGTCACTAAAATAACCAGTAAAGTGGTGAATTTTGTATTGTCAAAAAACAAAGGGATGGTGCTGTCTCAGAAAGATCCCAAAATGTGCCCAAATTCGGATGTCCCTTCCCCCGCTGGTTTAAGAAAAGACTTGGAGTCTGCACCTGCAGTTGTGGGGACACCAAGTGTTAATCAGCAGAATTCCGTCGTTAACCAGGGCAAGAGTCTGCCCGTCACCCAGAGCATTTCGAGTGGAGCGACCCCTCTTACAGAAGTAGGGATCCAGGAAAACRTATGCCAGAATGGCAAAGAGAAGAGCCCTTCTCCCAAAGCAGCAACRTCTGCTGTAGCTCATTCTAAACAAAAGAGTGCTCCTGGTGAAGACTGTCCAAAGGTAACTGTTTCCAATAAAATGTGTCAGTTCTATACATTCCTCATTGCAGTTGAATCAAATGGATATTATGGTCTTTTAAACCAAGTGTCATGACACCAAAAATGATGGTCTAATGTGTGGTTCTTGCTTGGAAAAAAAAAATGAGAAGATTTTTATTCGATAAAATCGAATATTTGTTTTTCATCCTAGGAAAAATTGTGTAGCCAGTGGAGATGTAGGGAAGTTGTTCATTGCTTTGAGCTCTGGTAGCTGTTTAATTTGTTGATGACTAATGTGTTGCCACGTTCTTGCAGCAGAACAAGTGTTGACTGTGGTAAAGGGGTGATGAAATAATGTGAAGGGGCTTGCAGCTAAAYGCGCGAGAATGAGGTGGAAGAGCAGGATTTGTCATTCTGAGACTAACTGTGGTGTCACACTGAGCTGCTGTTTCTGGTAGCTGAGTGAAACCGAGAAAGGAGCTGCATTTCCTTCCTCTTGTGTGGAAGAATCCACCACCTTTCGCCATGGTAGAAGAAACTCATGAGAGCTTTTAATGGCAGTGGTTATTTCCACCTTTATTCTGCCTACATACTTGGTAAAAATTGTGATCTAGAAAACATCTAGAAAATCCTTGACTTCACATGCTGCAGACTCTGTGCCCGTGGAGAACTGCAGGGCAGGTTTTCTGCAGCTCAAGAGGCTGGGATGAGCTCGCTTTCAGACAAAGAGTTGTTCTGAATGCAGTTTGTGCTTGCTTGTGTTTGAACAGGCAGAAAAAGCACTGCTAGCTAAGCACATTTATGACCATTTTAGACACTTCAGTCATTTCTGTTGTTCCTCACTTGAAACATGGCTGAAATAGAGTTTGTTTTWCTATTTTTGCCTTGTTTTGCCAAGTATTAGCGTTCTCGTTTGCTTTAACCTCTGTGAAAATACTATATCAGATGCATGCTGCTTATTTTTCCTTTTTTTTTGGACCATGGACTTGGAAATATATGGGTGCTAGGCATGCTGATGTAAGATGGACCTTGAAGATTAGTTAAAGTTCATGTTACAGTGAAGTTAGGTCACAAACTGTGCTGTGTTAATATTATCAACTGCAATGCAAGTATTTTTTTAGGAGTCTGAAAATGGCACTGTAAAGAACATCACCTCTGATCTTTCATCATCTTTCGGTGTTAATTTGAAGCTTTAGGATAAGTTGTTGCCTTCCTGTTTTACTTCTGTGGTTTACTAGTTCATTGTGTATTTTTTTGGATATACTTGGGGTATAAATAACTAACAATAGTATTAAATCTGTGCTAATATATATGTAATTTCTCACAATTGGCTTGCGCATTAAAAGTAACTCTTGGAAAATGACAAAATCCTTTCACTAGTGTTTGGGGAGGCACAGAGAGACAGAGGTTGATGGCCCTCTCGCTGTTCATGTATTTCAGATCCAGTTTGAGAAGATGGATTCACCAGGAAAGGTTATTCAAATCAAACACCAAGAGAAACCACATTGGAAACAATACATGGAATTAAGGAAAAAATTTGGCCTCTCTAAGGAGGAGAGGGTATGCCTTAGGAGAATACCCTTAAGGACCTCCTCTGAGATATGGGAAGAAAGAGTGTGTCCCAGTAATAGCTCGAAAAGGAGAAATGATTCTAGCAGTTCATCGTCATTAGATTTGGAAATAATAAGTCAACGTCAAGAATGTGTTGAACAGCAAAAGGTATCTTGAAAATTTTGGGTGATAAAGTGCTCTGCAACACCTCTAGAGAATAGCATCTGTGTGGGCAGCCTAGAGCTGCGTGTTTGTTCTGAACCCTCCCACCCCCTGGATTCATCAGGACAAGTCAGTAATTGTTCTGGTGCCCGTGAAAATTGTCCTTAAACTTGTGTGCTACAGCAGAGCTCCGAGCTTTGTGGTTTCAACGCTGTTTCAGTAGCCTCCAAGTCAGAAATGTGCAAGTCTGAGCGTGCAGGTGGGCAAGTGGGGAAGGAAGAGCCTCCTGGAGAGACTGGAAGYGCTTCTTGCAACAACCTCTTGTCTCCACCCGCTGCTCAGTGCTTCAAGGCACACGTTCTGTCGCTAGCCTCTCATCACGTCCAGATTTGCCTCTGTCAGTGCAAGCTGTTGCTGAGCCCATAGGCACTAGTTCAGAGTGTTGCAGGACGTGGCCTTTGTTCATCATCAGGCCGTGCCTGCTCTCTTCTGGTGTTTCCTCATGTGCAGTAGAGGAGAATTGACTTAATCATTCATCCTTGAGGTTTTCCCTGGGTGTTAAGCTGGGAAGTTGCTTGGGTGCTTCCATCTATAGATGGAAGAACTTTGATTTTGAKGCATTAAAATGATTTTATCCATCCGCAGTGGTTCTACTCAGCTCCCCAGTGCTCTAAGTTTTCCTGTAATTGTCTTGACTCTACCCAGTCAAAAGCTTTTTCAAGTTTTAATAGTTTTATGCCGAGAGCCCTGCTTTGGACAGATCTACTGCCTGTTTTTAAAGTAAATTAGATTTTAAACGACAAAATACAAGAATAAAGTTGTGTAGTGTGCGGTATCTGGAAGGCTCAAATTCTGTTTGGAAATATGTGAATTCTTTCTAGGTTTTGAGTCTTCTAATCAAGTTAGATATGCACAAACACAATAGGTAGTTGTGCACAGAAATGGGCTGTTTACTAGGGCAGGAATTGAATGCTTTGGAATTGTAAACTGGGGGGGTTTACCAGTGGAAGTTTCTGGAAGTAGAACTGCATTTGCTCAAACTATTGAAGGAAACTGCTCCACACAGCAGCCCTAAAAGCAATAAGTGMCTCTTGCATTGTGTGCTTAATGTACCGTGATGTAACGCAGAATGACGCTTAGTTTAACAGAAGCCTCTGTGTGTTTCTTGGCTGCACAGATAATTGTGGATCTGGAAGAGGATTTGTCTAAGAAAAGAAGGATGAAATCCTCACCGCTGGCAGACGTGGGGAAAAGGAGGAAGACGTCAGTCAAATCAACCACGAATACAAGTCTGGAAAACAGCAGCCCCAGTCCCGTAGTCCTTAACAAAAGTGTTTCGCCTCCAMCTGTCCTGTTGCAGAGTGTTTCCACGGGCTCTGTTGTATCTCCTCCAGTGAAGGACTCTGAGCAAGACCCGTGCTCTCAAAGTAGTGACATTACAGACTCAAGTGTCCCCGTTTTAGTGGCATGTGAAAACAATACTTCGGTTATTGAAGGTTCCTTCAGAGACGACGTTTTCCCTTTGACTCCCCCGGACTTGGATGAAACAATTAGGGATGAAAAAATAAAGCGACTTAAACAGCTCTTAAGAGAACGAGAAGCAGCACTCGAGGAGATGCGCAGAAAGATGCAGCAAACCTGAGATGCTGGAGCTGGGCGTCTGGACCACGTTCAGCTTTGCTTCAGTGGCTGCCACGAAGAATTCTACGCTTAAATATACTTAAGTTTTCTTTTTTTTCTTCCTGGTAAATGGAGGGTCTTAATGAGATTTATAATGTGTGCATATTTAGGAAAGTCTAAGTTTCCTCCTAGACACCAGGAGTATATGAATCAACTTGTCTAGAATTCTGTTTTTGGGATGTTATGTCTCAACGCAGAAGATAAACGCTTTTATTAGTGTATTCTCTATATTTTGAATTGAGAGCTTTCTGTATTAGTCCTAGGAAATAAACTCTCCCGCTGTGGAATTTCATGGCCTATCCCTTAGAAACTGAATGTAAATTGCAAACCCCAATTATAGATATTTTTTTTCCTYTGCTAATGTTTTATAGTGCATGACAACTTTTGTGAATTACTGGAAAGTATCAATTTGTCATAAAAGGTCATTTGTCAGTGTTTAATAAATACTATTTAAGCAATCTGGGGCTTAGATTTTAGGCAGTATTAATGCTGATATTTATAGGAGACCTCTCAGAGCTATGAAGATGGAACTGGAACTTGTGCCTGCTGAAGTGTCAGGGGAGCTACTGGATCCACCTCTCTTGCAGTTATTGTTTAAGCCTTTGCAAGGCATTTGCCATCTGGGCAATATGGTTTGTGTGTGTGTGTTGTTTATTTTGATTATTTTTCTCCCTAAACAGAATTATGTTGAGTCATTTCTCCTCAAAGCCAAAAGGGCACCCAGAGTGGTATCTTTAACAGCCCATGATGGTTTTTCTTCCGTTAACTTGTGCAGTTTGAGTCTGTCTCTTGCTACTTAAGTTTCTCATTGTAGGAGAGAATAAGCACCCAAYGTGTCTTTGCCATTGTGATTTTACCTATCTCTGTAGTGCATTTTTCAGTTGCCTTTTTTTCAGGATGAGCAGACCATGTATATTTTGTCATTTGTTGTATGGAAGCCTTTCCTTACCCTCTGTCATTTTTGTCATTGAATCTTTTAAGACCCTCCTGCAGTCCTTCAAAGTCAGCCACTGTTATTACTGCCTCGAATAACTTGGTGCTTTCTGCAAATTTGTTGCCGTAGATTCCACTGTTTTTTCTTTTCTTGTCTGTTGCTGCCGCTGTTGGAACATCACAGCTCCCTGCAGACCTTCACTGAGGAGCTCTGTTCACTTTTCCCTGTAATTGCTTTCTGACTATGAGGATCTTCTCTTACACAATGTGGAGGTATGTGTAGGATTTCAGTGAAAGACATTGCTGGAAAAATTTGGAAAGCTAAGTAGACTCCATCAACTTTGTCTCCCTTATTAACGTGCACATTGACTTTTTGGAGACCTTGTGTGGATTAGTAAGGCAGGAGAGTCTTTTAGGAGGGAAGAAAGAGATGTTCCCTGTTCTAAAAAGCACGGGGGAGGCCAAAATAGAGGAGATGATGCTCAAAAAATTCACTGTGATGGATGAAGATGGAAGGTATGTAATGGAGCTAAGCTCCTTAATGACTGAAATGACCAATTACTGTGTAAGAGGCAAGTGTCTATGATGAAGCAAGTTCGGATGATAGTACCTGATAGTACCTCATTGTACAAAGTGAAAGTTTTGTGGACAGAAACCCCATAGTTTAGCATGGGGAAGCGAGCAGCTCATGAAGAACCAGTGCAGAAGGGAGAGGATGACGTGTGTGAATTTGCCACGCTGGCCTAGGCAGTTCATGGAATCCAGCCCTCGTTTCGCAGAACTGGGAACACCTGCAAGACAGTTGCGTGCTGGAGGAAACCACTTGGGTGGCTGGAACCACAGGCTCTCCCTCAGTGAGGCCCAGAAGCTTCTGGAGCAGGTGGGTACAGGTGCTCATGCCCTTTGATGTYGAATAAACAAAGGGTCATTTGTGGRAGATGATGTTTTTTCCAGYAGTTGCGGGCCTCAGACCCCTGAGGAAGATGCATGTTGGCCATCTCACATGTCCGGAAAGCGTGGAAGAAGCCTAATTGCACCGAGCCTGGCAAATAATGAAGATGCAATGACTTTGTGTGGGAAGATTCCTTGTATGTGGAATAGCAATCTGAAAAGGGAGTGACGCTGCCTCGAGTCTTGTGCTGCAGGGCCAGTTGTGGTGCTCTTTGAGCAGATGTCATTCGTGCAGCCCAACTGCCTCCTGACAAAAGTCTTTATTTTCTGCTGATCTTTGAAGAAATTAATGAAGCTGAGTTCATTTGTCTCTTCTTTTGGCACGGAAGTTTCCAAGTGTAAACTTCTATGATGGATCACCTTTGAAACCACTTTACCCCTGCTAATGTGGCCAGTTAGGCCTGAGTTCTCTCTAGAGGTGGTAAGATATCGAAAACTAGGAGGACAGTCATCACTGCAGGATTCCTGAAGTGTGACCAGCGAGATTTAGAAGAAAAAGATGTCTGGGCTGTTTCCTTGCAAGCAAATAATGGAAAACAGTGCAATTCAGAAAGGTGAAGTCCTCTGGGGAAGAGAAAGAAAGAACAAGCCTCGATGTTGCAGGAAAGGCAGAAGGGTCACTGAGCGCCCTGCATGTGCCCATGTGGAGAGCTTCACAACAACAGCAAAGGGGCTCCCAACAAACAAGGACCTTGCGGGTTGATGGAACTTGGCCTCTTCCATCATTAGCTGTGGCACAGATTGTCTTTTGAGTTTAATTATGCCCCAAAGGACGGAGTTCTTTTGGGGAGCTTGGCACGAAGGAAAGTTCTTGGCATCCATGACTATACACAGGCTTGAAKGGCAGAAGACTTGGACACCATGCAGGCTCTATCGGGTGCATCATGAAACCTGTGGATTTAGGCTCTCAGTCAAAGCTATCGTTTCCAAGCAAACATTYGGGAAGAGTTGGTGAAAGACCTTAAGGAATTTCAGGGTCTAAAGAGTAGAAGTGGCAATGAGTGTTGGACAAAACAGAGGAGGGAGCAAAGAAAATACTACGTGAGCAACCAGCATCATCCTGATCTTCTGGGTTCAGAATGTTCTGGGGTAGAAGAACTGTTACTGTGCAAAGATGTAAGGACAACTCACTGAAGCTCTGGCATCTCTGTATGAAGACACATCTGTGGAGAAATCTGTCAACCATTTAGCTTGAGAGTTCACCTGSAAGCTGCCTGCCTAGAATGCGTCACAGAGTCACAGAGGGGTTGAGGTTGGAGGGGACCTCTAGAGATCAACTAGCCCAACCCCCTGCTCCAGCAGRGACACCCAGAGCACGGAGCACCCAGTCMCATCCAGGYGGGTTTGGAAGATCTCCAGAGCAGGAGCCTCCACARCCTCCCYGGGCAGCCTGTGCCAGGGCTYGGGCACCCTCACASTGCACAAGTTCTTCCTCACGTGGAGATGGAACTACCTGGGTTTCAACTTGGACCCACTGCTCCTTGTCCTGTCACTGGCCACCACTGAGAAGAGCTTGGCCCCTTCCTCCCTACATTCCCCCTTCAGGTATTAGTACCTACTGATCAGATCTCCTCTCAACCATCTCCAGGTTAAACAGACCCAGTTCGCTTAGTCCTTCCTCACATGAGCGATGCTCCAGTCCCTTCATCATCTCTGTTGCTCTCTGCTGGCCTCTCTCTAGAAGTTCCACGTCCCCCTGGTGCTGGGGAGCCCAGAGCTGCCCCCAGTGCTCCAGGTTTGGCCTCCCCAGAGCTGAGGAGAGGGGCAGGATCCSTCCCTGCCCTGCCGGCACCATCCTCCTCATGCAAGCCAAATCAGGTCCAATTTCATCTGATCAGTCAGGTCAAAACAATCAAATCACATCCAGTTTGATCTTGGCAAGCCAGCAGTCTGCTGTAGGTCTTCGAAATGTGCGGAATAAATGCAAAAGAACTTAATCCATCGGTATTTTTCATCGGAGATGTGCAGATTTGGCTTTTAAACGTTGCTGCTTACAAACTGGTTTGGACCATCTTGAAGCGACCCTAGGTTCTTAACAGCAAACCCAAGTGGACACACTGACTGATTCCCAGGCGCGTGCTCCTCAGCTGGAACAGATAAGGAGGCCGAGTTTGGCACAGCTCATCCTGCCTTCCTCCCTCGCCTTGGGAGGAACAGAGCAGCTCCAGCATGGTCCAGAGAAGGCTCTGGATGGCGRGGAAGGTGGTGCTGCTTTCGCCAACAAGGCTCAAAGGCACAAGCGGACTGAGCTGCATCAGACCAAAGACGCATTAAGCCCCTTGCCMTGTGTCCAACGGAGTGATGTGAGACGGGGAATCAGAACAGAGACCAGCGGCAGATGCCTTGAAAAGGCCACGGATCCAGCAGCCRTGCGTCGTCGTGGCAAACACCCAGSACGTGGGATTTCATTTGGAACGTCACTGAGATTCTCCTTTTTGTTTGACAGTGACTCATGGAGATGTTATCATTATGTTAATGACTTTTTTTTTTGCTTGTGTGTGACATTTTCTAATATTGAGGTGAGTATCATCAGTCCTCAAGTCCCCATCTCCAAGCAAGAGCAGATTTAGCAGGGCCTTTGTCATCTCAATCTTCAGTTTTCTTTTTCAAAACCAAGAAATTCTGTATGTGTCCCCTGAGCAGAAACCATCCCAAGCCTTTGATATTTTAGTTATCCAAACGACCGCAATAAAATGGTTCTCCCTAACTTTTCTACCTCCATCATGATCTTTTTCAGATGGATGATGATATTTTCATGGCCCAATCTACTAAACTTGATGATCGCTTTGAATGTAGTAGCTCATTCGGAGCTCGTTAGTGCATATGGAAAGGCTTTTTTTCATCCTTTTTTAATTAAAAAAAAATCAGGAGGAACATATTATCAATCAGAGATGCCTCTGGGTGTGAACACTGATTCCCTCCATAAAACTGATGGACTGGTGAGACAGGTTGTCTCTTTGCTGAACCCTAAGAGACTTCTCTTCAGTTCAATAGAAAATGAAGGCTGGTCTGAACAGAGCATGAAGGACCCTGGGACCAACAGAAGAAGCAAGTGGCAAAAGGGCTCCAGGAACAGCTGTAGATGGCACTGATAGAAGCAGGTCATCAACATCCCAGCACATCTTCACAGAGCTACTGTGGACCTTCAGCTAAGGAAGGTAAGGACAGCCTGAATGGGGTGACAACCAGTGCTCGGGCTGAAAATGAAGCCTCGTGTCGTTCAAGAGGTGATGGTGTGAAAATGGAGAACAAGACAGGGCTCACTAAACATCCAGATAAAGAGAGGACAGTAGATACCAGCAGTTCACAGATATGGGTCAGGACGGACAGACAAAAACCCACAATCATCTCCAGAAGGACACAAATGCACATCTGGAGCAAATTTGTGGTTGGTGGCCCAGAGAACCCAGAGCTGCAAGAAGGACTTCCTACACRTCATGGCAAGCAGTTCTCGGAATTTAAACTTGTTCATCTGTTGTTCCTTTAGGGTTCTTCTATTAACATAATCTCACCTGAATATATAATCCCATTCATAATCTTACTGCTGTTCATTTTGCCAGTTTGTTTTACAACATCTTATTCACCATCTCAGCTTCATTTCAGGGTTCAGTGTGAAGAAACCTTCTTCCAGGGGTGAGAGTCTTGCTAAGCTCCCCTGTGGTGGTCGTGGCTGCCGGTGTCTTTTGTTTCCCTTTTTCTGGTGGTCGCTGCCTTCTTTGGAGGCTCGTTTCTGTGCCTTGCTCTGCTGTTCTTGACAACATTCCGACAGACTTGTGATGTTTGGAGACGGGTTTATTGTCCCTCAGATCTGCTCACTTCCATGGGAGTTCAATTYGATCAACACATTTTTCTTGCATTACTGGCTGCCTTAACCCAGTCCGACCATGGTGGCTGTTCCCCTTTCCTCACGAAGTCTTTTGGGATGTGGCACACATTGGCGCTGAGCCTGGAGTGCCGGGTCTTGAGACAATCTCCAGTACAAMCATTTTGCCCTTTGATTTACTCCTTTAATTCTCTTGATTTTTTTTTATAATTGATGATGGCATCAGTTACCTACATAGTTTATCCTCAGATAAAGAGAAGTGCAGCAAACCCCTGCACAATGAGACTRCCAGGAAAAGAGTCTCTTTGTACCACTTGGAGCTCCTCCCCAGCATCCCTGTGTGCTCTGAGCACAACATTCCCAGTACTTGCTGGGTCCTTCTCCAGTTTTGTCTTTGCATCTTCACTACAGCTTTCTTCTACGCTCTGTCCTGCTATAGCAACCCACAGCAAAGCCATTCRGCCCAATTGGCAGCCTCCTGTTCGGCTTAGTTTTGAGTGGAAATACGAAATTATTTTTGTATTCCTGATCCTATGAGTGAGAAATGATGATTAAGCCTAACACACTATGACAAACAGGCTGTCCGAGTGGAAGGGGCAGGGGAGAACTTGAGGGGCAGCTGGATGCTGCTTTCACAGGAGGCTTCCCTTCTTTTTCAATAGACGTCCGATGTCCCCATCCTGTTGAGCGTCRCCAGACGGCTGTGATTCCTTGGCACGCTCCAGCTCTGATGTTGCGGTGCCCACAGGTGCCTCCATCCTTGCGGCAGCCGGCATGCTGCTCGGCTCACGCGTTAGGGCCGCCTCACACACCTGCTAAGCGGCTGAGAAAGACAGTCCTGAGCTCAGCTGTGATTTCACAGGAGGAAATGACAGGGTCCTTTAGGTGGAGATCTCTCAGGTTCAAGCTTGTTGTTCACTGCAGCCAGCTGTGACTGGAGGAGGAGCAAGCTCACAGTCCCGGTGAGGAGATGCAGTGTGATCTCACCCACTCCATGCAGCCCTCWGCAAGGAAATGCTGGTGGACTTGGCAGGGCTGCGGCAGGGTCTGCGCTGCCCTGGGGAACAGGTAGGACACTGCAAAGCTTGTCCTTGCTGGGCTGCAGGTCTGCGCCTTGGGAGAGGAGGAGCTGGGAGCCGAGCTCAGCACAAGCCTTCCTAGGCAGGGCAGAGACCCAGCAGGGCTGGACTGGAGGGCAGAGCAGGGTGGTGCTAACAGGACCTGTGGAGAGTCCCAGACAAGGGGAGATGATGAAGGAGGTCCAAGGTCCATGCAGGCAGTCCAGACAGGAGTAGCAGGACTGCCGTGCAGGTCAGGTCTGGGCGGACAATAGGGCTGCAGTCAGTGTAGATATGAGGAGTGTCCAAAAAACCCCCAAAGCTAGAGAGGGGTCTGAGGATACGCTTCGCATATAGTTTAAGATAGGGCTGGGTCCTCAGTGCTAGTCGGTGCTCAGAAACCCAGTGTCTGTGTTTACCAGCGCTCCACGGAAGGGAGATGCTACAYAGAGATGAGGAGAAAGCCACGATGGATGCTAGGGGAAAAGGGAGAAGAGCCTTATGATCAGGTAGGGTCCTACGGGAATCTTCTGGAGAAGCTGAACAAAACAACTAGGCTCTTGTTTCTCCTCTTCTACTTTTCTTCTACCAGGAAAAGTGGCATCCCCTTTCTTGCAGGGGGTCAAGTCCCTGCAAACCCAGGGCAGTAAGACTTCCGTGATGAACTCCTGGTTAAATCTAACCCCACTGTAAGGGTTTACAGATTGCATCATTAGAGCCCATGTAGCTAAATAGGTGATTCTCTAGGAGGCCTTTAATCCCTAGGGATTTATCAGCAGCTAATCCCTGTTTCTTGTGGAAACCTTCCTCAAGCTGTGGAGCCCTTGGGGCCTGAGACTCAGTTAATGATTTCTGCTGCTCATCCTACTCTGAGAGCTTCAGTAGCTCTTCCCTCCATTCCAGAGCATGAGTCGGGTGAGCAGGATGAGTCCGTGTGCTCTGAATCTTCCTGGGCCTGAGCTGTAGGAATGCTCTGCCCACGCCCTCTGGGACAAACCTGTCCCTCAGCTCGAGYGACTTCAGGAGGAGTGAGGGAAGGAAGGACAGGTTTGGGTTAGAGCAGCCTCATCCTGGGGCAGCCTGTTCCGGTCCCCGACAGTCCTGGTGACTCCTCGGCAGGAAGCAGGCAACGCTGGGCCTGGAGCAAGCCAAGGGGTCCCACCCTTTTGCTATGGTCCCTTGTAACAGGAAGGGAAGCTGCTCAAGCAGATACTACCTGTCAGCTCCTTCATTCTGGAATAAATCGTTGTATGAAGAGGAGACCTTCCTCCCGGGTGGCTTCAYCTTCAGCTCTGGCTGAGTGGGCGCGTCTTGGGTGAACTGCAGCTACCCAAACAAGGAGGCCGCAGGTGTGGAAAGGATGACGCTGGAGAGCAGCACTAGGCTGAGCTGTAGCTCCCGCTGTGCAAATGGCCTTGGCCTAAGGAACGCTGGAGAGAACGGAACAAGGGGCTGAGCGGGATAAGGCCTGTGCTGCGTTTCTTTTGGGTGTGGAGGAAGTGAGGAGGAGACACAACTTCTTAATAACCTTCATTTAATTACTCCATGACATCCGCATGTGTAGAAATGTTATAGGCTTGTTTACAATACTGATAACATTTGCATTGCTGACTGGCTAGTGGGTTAATAGCAAAGCCATTTTATGTCAAGTTGAGTATAATCACTTCATGTTTTTTATGCAAAATAAATGCTTAGAAATGTAACTCTTATTGCTACTAAATTCCTGAGTTATGTTGAGAACATGTTCTCTTCAACTTCATTAGATACTCCCTGCTACCAGCAGTGTCTGTTCATCAGTCAGAAAGCTCTGCGGCGTGTTATACAGGGTTTGTCCGTGAAGGCTGACGATCGCACGCAAGGAGATTTTCTGTACAGGAAAAAGAAGAGCAAATGCAACATAAAAGTTTGTTACTTCTTCAGTATGGACAGTTTCTACTGTCAAACCAACTTCCCTGCAATTCAGACCAGCTCCAGCACTAGTAACCCGACTGAGAAGCTGTTCTCCTAGAGTGACTCCATAACTTGCCCTGCAATTTGGGGCAAACTTCACCCGTGACTGTGATAGAGCCTCAAGTCTGGGACGGAGCGATTATGTTATTTCCTGCTGTTAACACAATAGGAGCAGATCCTACTGAGGGAGCAAGGGCTGTATTTAATGCTGTTCACACTACAGGTCTTCCAGTCTTGCTGACAAAGCTGTTCAGTTTAGAAGCTCACGAACACAGCCCATAATGTCAGGCTATTTGGAGTTTGGAAATGTGCTGTTTAAGGTAACTTTGTTTTTACCTGAAAGTCACGGATGTAGGTGAGGAAGAAACTGAGAAAGGAGAATGCTAAGGACCACTCCGAGACAGTACTGATGAGGTGAGCTGTGTAGCCCTGTACAAAAGGAGGAATAAATGGTGTGAGAAGCTACTCTGGAGCCTGCAGCAACCCAAATAAGGTATGTGTTGTATCCTTYGCATCCTTTTCTCTTCCCAGCTCCACCAGATGCCCATTTAACAGCAGTCAGGAACTCCTGCAGCCAGCCAGCGCCGCAATCCCTGATTTACAGTTAGTCTAACACTGACCTTGCATCTCTGACTGGCACGGGCTAGACMGACTGGTACCCTGACAACAAGCTGAGGCAGTTCAGATGCTGCCCAGGAGCTTAATTTAAAGCTATACCAGAAGCTGCAGATGTGTTGCTGCAGCCTGTAGTTCTGTACCGGCTCAACTGGTCAAGCTCACCGTTCCTGTCCCACGGTGAGTGTGAAAGTGCAGAGCTATCTGCARCAGCACTAAGTTCCCAGATGCAAGGTCAGTGACAAATGCAAATAATGTATATGTTCTGTTCCTGGAAACCCCCCTAACACAAAATTAGAAGCTTTAGCTTGCTCAGTGTTGGGTTGGACTGTATTAAATGTCATCTAATGAAGGTGTTTAACAGTGCTGGGCACAGTGCTGCTCCCATGAATTTGCTTTATTTTCTCTGCTCCAAATCACTTACTTTCTCCTGTGGATCCCAGTGCAACTTCTGCACTAAATTAGTTCCGTACAGGCCACTATATAAAACAACGGAGGAAACAAACACTGTAAGTGACTATGTTAAGGAAGAGTCAAGACAAAACTGTGACAACTGTGGAATTTTCAAACTCGGCTCTGGATTGTTTCAGCCTGAGGCTGTATGGAGATTTCTGGGTGTTTTTTTTTTCCCCACAGCCCTTCAACCTGTATGTTGTTGCAACACTCAATTACTGCCATACTAAAGTTAATTCTGGGATCCATCTTATTTCTGGATACTAGATATATATATCACAAACACAAAATCAGCAGGCCAYCCTACTGATTTGCACTAGTAGGAARCTGTGTTTTCAGCATCTTACAGAGCTGAGGAAGTACTGCATCAAATGCTGCTGCCTGTATAAACGAAAGTTATATCTTAATTAACTTCCTCAGTCCTTAATGSGATTAAACATTAAGATCCTCCTGATGTCCATGATTAATTTTGATGGTGAACAAGGCTGAACTTGCTGGCATCTTTATGCCTTTGAGCGCACACACAATGTTTATTAAAAACATGAGGTGAATGAGCTAGGGAGCTCTTTGTGTATTRAATACTGTATGCAAGACAGCCAGTTCTGCTCGTTAAAATATCCAGCTTTAGTAGTTGTGCTGCCTGCCTGAGGCACTGGCGCCCCTTGCCTACAGGACGGGCACCAAGCTGCTTTGCTCTTCCTGTGGCTTTTGCTGTTTCAGTCCAGCAGGGGGTCAGCAATTCTCGGGATTCCTCGTGTCCTGCAGTACCAGGTACAGCTGTTTCACCCACGGCCACAGATTTATCCATCCTGATTCCTTTCTTCATGTATCCAGGGCTCCTGTTGTAGAAAGTACCCTGACAACTAGCCTCTTCTTCCCTCTAATTTTGGTTAGACCATACTGGTTTGAAAACTCTATAGCTCTTGTGGYTTTTTTGGCAGCTCTAAGCAGCTCTCAACTCCTATCTGGTTCATATCTTTCCATTTTTGAAAGCTTCTCCTACTGTGTTTGGCTCCTCATCACTCGAAGTTGAAAAGCATGTTCTCTCCTAGGGCCCTRAAAGGCCAACTTGATGCAGGCTCTRATCTGTCTGGAGAAGTCCTGGACAGTATCAATAACTTCATTTCCTGCTGCCATGCACTTTTGCAGCTCGCTCCCCACTACCCATCACAATTATCTTCAGTATTGAAACTTCCCGCTGGATTAAAGAGTCCTTGAGTTAGGACTTATCAACTGGCTCTTTGTTGTTTCAGGACTGGAGCTGATATTTCTCCTGTGACTAAAATTCTCTGAATCCAGATGACTTTCTTATTCTGTATCTGGACTCCTCAGTAGATAAGGATCCGTTTCTCCTCTTTATGGCAAACTGCCAGTGTCCAGGCTGTCACTTCCTATCACACTGAAACAGGTTATATAATCTTGGTGTAGCAGAAATGGAAACCCAGCCATCAGCTGGACTCTGTTAATGGGAAACTGGGTGTGTGGTTTAGTGTTGGCTTTGGCAGTCAGCCTAGAAATAAGTGGAATTGGTGGGGATTAAATAGGTGGCCTTGATTCAGTTGCAGAAAGGCAGCATCTAGTGATGAATTTCTTTGGACTCGTGCCTTTGGAATGTAAATTCCAATCTTGGAGTGTTACAGGTTCAAAAAACCTGAGTCAAAATTTTCAAAAAATGTTTAGCAGAGGTACTGCTGGGGTTCAGTTTCCTGACATTAAGTGACTCTGGACCAAAAAAGGCTCTTTCTTTTGCAGGCATTTGCCCACGTTTTCCTAAAACCTGCAGCTGCTTCCAGCACTTGAGAAATGAAAATTCTTGGAGAAGATGGATTGCAGGGTCAAGAGAAAGCGGCAGGGAAAGCCTACATGTCTGCCTAAATGTCTGCTGAACTACCAGATGGGCAGGAAAGGGATCGGAGGTGAAGCTCCACTTGTGACGCAGCCTTGGCAGAAGGCTCCCGAGTCCTCTCCCAGGCATTACGGATAAATGCTGACGCTCCAAAGCTCCTCGGGAAGCCATCTGGCTCCGTGCTAATGCGCACGGATATGCTAGGAGTATTTTCTCTCTTAGGTTCCGTACTACTTTCAGCTTTGTATAAAAAATGCTGCAGCATTCACACCAGTGGGAATAAAGACAGCTATTTCTCATCTGCTTTTCTTCCCCGACTGACCCCACCTGACTCAAGTACACTTCTTTCTCCCCATCTTCAATAATCAGCAGTCAAAACTGGCAATTAATTCTTATTTTGTCATTTTTCACTTCCTTGTGTGCAGGGGGAGGAGAAGAGTTGAACTCTACTGGCTAGTGACTCACCAGTGGGCTTGACCTGATGATTACCTTTATGCTCAAGTTCCCGGGTTGCAACACAGCTGAGGACAACATGGAACTACGCAACCTGTCTGATTAGGGCGGGCAGGTCATCTGTGGCATATTTATTTCATCCCAGCAGGTTAAACTAACTTAGGTTAAACTACAAACAATAGTATTTGCCAGCAAGTTAGAACTTGTTCTATCCTGTGGTCACAGGTCAGAGCAAAGGATACTGCTTGCAATGCTTGAACTGCACCAGATCAGCACTGTCAGTCGGATCCAAAAGATGTCTTTGCTGTGAAGTTCTGGCTGCATCAGGTAGGACAGGATGGTCTGAACCAGCATGTAAATCACCCCTACTCCAAAAGTCAGGCAGGCTCCAATCACGTGTAGGTAGTATAGAATACATTTCTAGGGAAAGAAAGCAATACATAACCTGGGTTTATTTKAAATTCAGACAACACTTCTTTGGTTAGTAAGTCCTTGTTTGGGACTCTTATCAGCTCAATTTTCTTCTTGTTTGGCACTCTATCCGCTCAGTTTTCTTCTTGCATCTGAAGCAAAGCAGTTCTGGAACTTGTCAGTGCTTAAGATATTTTCTTGGAAACCCCACATAGGGTGAACTAGAAGCCAGCACCTCCCAGCCCTCTATATTGCTATTTCTGGTAAGTCCTTGTAGCTAAGTTAAAGATCACAGCTGTATCTTAACCACAGGAATTTATAAAAGCTGCTCTCATTAGCTGCATTCAAAGGAAAAAAAAAAAGGATGGTAACAGGAAAATGGATGAAGGAATCCCTGCAGTTGGGCAGGTAAAGAAGGGTTACAAAATGCTATCTGAGCTTCCCTATCTCAGGATTTTAATGTTTATGAAGGTAACATAATTCAGGATAAACACAACATACAATCTAATCCTCCAAGTGATGTGAAAAATGAAATAGGTTTAGTCCTTTYCTGAATACTTTGTTTGTCAAAGTAGTATCTTTGAATCCTCGGAGAGGACGATGTTGAATGGGAAAGCAATGCTTTTCAACGTAAATAAACCAACACTTCAGGAGGATCAAGTGTCAAGGAGCAAGAGTCCTCAAAACTAGAAATGATTCTAACAACAACACCCAAACTCGCAATCTATGCTATCAAAAATTACAGTGCATCGAGTCCTGTGTTCTTCTAATCACTGACTGGGCAGCAAAGGCAGAAAACGAAGTGTGCCATGTGAATTGTGCAGCGCCAAGCCCGGCAGCCTCCCTGTACTCCCAGTCCTGCAGACGCTCACTTCATGCCCTAAAGCAATGAGTTTATCTCTGAATTTTACTATGTAATTATCAGGAAGCAGCCAAGCTTTTGTCACAGTCTGAATATGAACCGCCCGCYGTGCAATTGCACCTTCAGGTATATCCTTATAGCAGCAGAACAGCCGAGATGGAAATTGTAAATTGTYGTAGTCAGAAGCGCGTGCTCTGAAAGCACGCAAAGCAATTCGGCTTCACTAGAAGTCTGGGGGAAAGGGAAATTAACAGCTTTTGCTTGAGAATAAAGCGGTTGCACTGGTTCAATAAATCAAAAACCTCTTAAGCGTGAGCCCTGCGCTGCTGCATKTCTTAAAATCCAAAGCTCAACGCGCTGAGCTCCCCAGGATGGATGTTGAGGCAGGGAGAGCTGCGCTACCGGGAAGGGAAGCCCGGATGGCAGCGCTTTCCTTGCTGCTCCCGGCTTCCAATCCTGGCCCTGCTCCAGCAGGAGACTAAGCAGGAGTCACTGCAGCCTCTAGCGGCTGAAGCCCCAGCCCAGGTCCCTGGGGAAAGCCAGCTGATAATTTGTATGAAGGGGCTGGTAACAGCTCTGTGCGCAACAACCTGGGCGGCTAAACGCTGCCTTGCCCATGGTGTGAATACTGGGAAGTCTCGCGTTTTGGACAAAGAAACAACAAAAATACAACAACAACAACAAAGTATAGAGGAGTGAAAACAAGACGGGGAGGCAGAAGTGCAAAAGCTGGCTTAGACTGCAGTGTTTTCAAGAACTCGGTAGATTTTGAAAGAAAATACACCGAAGAGACTATATATTTTTTAAGTGCTATTTTTTTTTTTTGTGAGGACAGCTGCTTTTGTTGGTGCTATTTCTGTTTTTTAAAGTTTTCTACTATTTAACATTTGATTCTCCTGATTTAAAATATTATATACTTTATTTGTAGCCTTTTAATCTGGAACAAAGACTTTAAAATGGTCTATGAGAAGGTGACTGAAGATGTTGGCTTTCTGGAAAACTTTTTAATAATGTTTTAGAACTTTCTGAATGGCTCCTGACATGTCTCCATGGATAAAACCAGTAAGAAACATGTAAGAAATTCCATACAGAAACTTCAATTTTTCTGTTTTCTGTAGGGAATTTGACAAAACAAAAATAAAAAGAACAGTTTTTTTTCCCCCAACATAGAGCTTCAAACCAACCTCCCATATCTTATCAAATATTTCAGTATACAAACAGCATTCTGGACAGCTTTGGAAAACAGCAAGTGAAACACAAACCTGGAAATTTGCAATAATGCAAAGTCCAAAACAGCTCATCAGTCCTAGTGTAAGGCCAATTTTATTAAGTTTGGTGATCTTGGATTTTTCTGGATTCAGAGCGTGAACTTGTTTGTAACGGACATACATAGTAGCCATACCTATAAACGAAGAAGCGAGTGCAGTAAGATCGTAAGCTGACAAGCAGGGTGCCTTTTTAACTGGAAAGATGCTGAATGACAAAGGCAATTATTTAAAATATGAAAGCTAAGTTATTGCGCTCTGAAAGTTGAGGACTTGGAAGTCAGAACCGAAACACAGTGACTTCTTGGATTTTCTGACCTATTTCATTTGAAAGACATATTAGGTTGTTCCCTCCCTATAATTAGAGCACAATTGAAGTGGATTGATGCCCTTAAACTTGCATTTCTGTTTCTTTTATCGTTCTGGTTTTCTTTTTAATGGATTTTTGGCCTTCTGGAATTGTCATGCTAGGTTTGAACATCCCTGCAATATGCTTTCCTCTTAATTACTTAAACAGTATTAAGATAGCTTACCTAGAACTTGGCTTTTGCCTGAGAATAAATGGGCTGCTTAATGATCTGAATATGGAAACGGTTTAAAACAGTGTTCATTCCAGAACTGCTTCCAGTTTGCCAAGGACAACTGTTTATACTCACCCAGGAAAGCCGAAATATTTAGCATAATCCCAAATAAGCATCTTTCAGGAGGTATTGTCCCTGTATCACTGCAAGAGAAAAACAGTGATCTCCATTTATACTACAAAAAAATTGCAACGCGCTTTTGTTTCAGGCTACAGAGAAACCATAAGAAATCGCTTTGCAAAATCCTCATGGTTATTTTTTGCTGGATTTTTCATGACTTAAACTAAACTGTGCTAGTTTCTAAAGCTGTAGAAATAAGCATGGTAAGGCCATGATATTCTCAGTACGAGGAATGAACACGCTTGGTTTAGCTATTCCTTTTATATTTATCTTAAATCCATAAAAAAAGGTGAATAAAGACTAATAAAATTGAAAAATGAAGAACTTGGAAAAGCAAAAGGCCAAATTTAAGATCATATGGGTAATCTTACTACTATCCAGTCAGGAATATAGATTACAGTATAGATTTACAGAAGAAACCAAACTTGGTGACAGCAAGAAGCTTTATTCCAAAGAGAAGGCTGGAGGGTATCCCCAATTTTCTCCTTTACCATCATTTTATGGAGGTGTTCAGAGCTACAACTTAAAGGTTAAACATTTGCACAAAAAATGGTAGCTTTAAAGAGACATACTGRTTGTTGAGAATTATAGTTTGAAGTTAGAGAAGAATTGGCTGGAGTGGATATAGTTAACAGTGCAGTTGTATGAACTTTACTGACCTGATGTAGGGGACCAAAGGGTCGACATGGTGTAGGGTAATTGCAGTAATGTAAGAAAATATGAAAGATGCAGCTGACCACACAACCAAAGCAACAGGCAAGAAAGAGAGGCCTTGCTGAAACCACCACATTTTAGTGTTGTCTTCTGACTTCAAACACTGAGGAATCAAATACAAAAGTTTACGAAGATTTATCTCAAAATCCTTGCTTTTTTCTAGGCAAGTTGTTTGTTCATCGCATGCAGTTGTCAAGGATGACTCTTCACTACAAAGCCTGTGCTGGGATGAAATGGATCTGATGGTGCTCTCAAACCTGCTTCTTCAAACCTGAAGTGACTGCTTGACTTCCCAGCACAAAAGCAACATAAATAAGCAGAAATCACACCTGGAAATGTTTGTCCTGAAACTCTTAAGAGCATTATAAAAAARTCATCAGTGTCACTTTACAGCATGTCTCACCATTTATTGCTGACAGAAGGTGGTCAAGTGGAGCACTGTGAATAACTGGCTCCATTTTCTTCTTAACCTCATGTTATAACACCAGGTTAAAATTAGTGAGGCTGACAGAAAGGGAAATGTTAATAGCGATTATGCCCCAGCAGTGACAGTTCAATTGATGGTGGCCTAGAATGTAGCCGCAAGCTCCTAGGGATCAGTCTGATATTATATTTTATTTTTTCTTTATCATTTAAAAGCTACTGGTGTCTTAGCTTTTCTTAACTAATATATTTCTGCCTGGAGAAAAAAAAATGAAAAGGCATCACATACCTGAGAATAACGATATTGAAGAGAAATATCACCTCAAGGGGAATCCAAAGTCATCTTTTTGCTGAAGTTCCCCACTTCCTTCATTTCTTTTCTACATCTTTTAAGACATAAAAGAAAAATTATCAAGCCATGCTGTACTCCTATGCCTTTTACACTCTATTATTTGTTCTTTATCTGCTAATAGCCATGGCCACTGCCAGGGCACTAGACTAAGGGCAGGCTAGTAAAGCACAACAGCTCTTCCCAATTGCCCCCTTGGAAATCACTCTTATGATGGGATAAATAAATACACAGGCAGACGAGCGGCGTCTGTTCCCTGCTGCAGACAAACCCTCAGTCGCTTGAGCTTCAACATCCATTACTCAGCCCGGAGCTATGATCTGGACACAAATTAGGGGCATTTTCATGTGGTCAGGTGGAAATAGCAGTGCGGTAGCTTCGGCTGCAATCCGAGGGCTTTGGCGGGGCGTTTTACYGGCGTATAGCTGCAGGCTGGAGCATCCGAACGGCCGGGCGGCCAGCGCCGGCCTGTGCCCAGCCACAAGGGAAACCACAGCTCCTCTTTCACTTTCCGATCCATATAACCCCAGACAAACTCTCCTTCTGCTTGAAACTGTTTCCTTGGCTTCAGCAAATGCTGTCCCCCAGATATGCCAAGTTCCTCCCTGAACTTCCTTATCTCCTTGCATCTTCCTTGACTTTTAAAACTGGCATTCAAAAYGTAGAGTCCTTTTTTTATGCATTACATGGGCAGCCTGTATGCACCCGAAGCTGCAATAAGCAAGAACAGTCTTTTTTTCTGTGCCAAGTGCTGTATATATTTATGGCGCTGTCTACCTGAGGCTGTCCCAACTGTGCACTTCTGTGGTAAATCATCTCACTGCCACTTCATGGGGCTGTGCAGGGTCTGGGCATGCGCCAGCATGTAAAAAAAAGCTCTGAAATCAAAGCAAAATGGATTTGTTTCGATGGACAAATTTGTCTTGCTAGCTGGACAGCGCTCAGATGTAATTATTATTAACACCTCATCCTATCCTATTGTTTTCAATGGTAAAAAATACAAGAAACTTGTCTTCCTCATGTCTATTTATTTATTTATTTATTTATTTTTCCCCCACAAAGGTCCTTTGCCAACTGATCATGTAATAGCAACTGCTGGTCTCTCTTTTCAATGCAAGTAAACATTTTCTTAAACATTTATCCAGATCCGTAGTTATTTTTGTGTCCTAAGGGGTTTGGAAAACACAGATGAATTTTGACAGACGGTTCTTGGGAGATAAGACATTATCAAATCATTATCGAGAGCAAGTCAAGGAAGTGCTGCGAAAGCAAAAGTTTAACCATGTTTTTTTTTTTTTTTCCTTTAAATGCAGGAAGTATGTAGCACATGCTTTGAGTATGAGGAACAGAAACTGCAGAAGATGTAATGAAACCGGTTCAAAAATGTCAGTGCCCACATGAGCAATAGCAAAGGCTGCCTCAACCTGCTGCTTTTTGGCATTCTCGGTAAGACAGGCAGGGATAAAGCGACACTAAGGCACTCCTTTTWTTTTCCTCCAGCAAAATAATCCAACGCCAGTAAAATAATCCAGGGACGCTGCTGAAGGAATAAAAATGATCTGCCGCTTGCATTCCCGAGCGAGCACAAAGGTTGGCTGGGGACAGGTCACACAGAGCCCCGATGTGCTCGTTTGCGTAACTTCTCCTCGGGGTCAAACTGATAACACTGGTTACACGTTGCTAATCCTCAAAGGACTAGAAGTGAGAACGGAGGAAAAGTTGGCTTTGCTGCTCCCACCGCGGTGCAGTCACAGGCCATTCCCGGCCAGTCTTCCGTGGCACCGGCTCCCCAGAAAAGCTCAAGGCAGAGTCTAATCTTTTGAATATGGGCGTCAGCTTCCAGGGAGGGTGTTTTATCCCCGTGCCAGCCGAGCGGCAGCGCGCCAAGTCAAACAGAGGCAGGGGCAGGACACTGTGATCGCGGGTGTCCCCGCGGGTGTCCGCTGGCCTGCGGCGACACGCGGGCAGCTCAGCGCCCGGCGGGCACCCGCGCCACCGGCCGCTCCGTCCTGCCCAAGAGCCGCTGCCAAGGCGCTCCCAGGAGCAGAGCGAGGAGAGGGTGTCCCGCGTCCCGGTGAGGAGCCACCGAGACCCTGCAGGTGCCCGCGGCGGCTCCGGGCAGCCGGGGACAGGGAGGAGGAGGCGCCGCGGGGGCTGAGGACGGCGACAGCGGGGACGGAGAGGGGCCCTGGCGGCCGGGGGCGCCGCGGGGGCACGGGGTGCCCGCGGTGTCGCTAGGGGCCCTGGGGTGGTACCAGGGAGTCACCGGGAGCGCGAGGGACACAACCGGGTGGTCCCGAAAGGTCCCGYGGGCACCTGGGCTGCCCGGGGCTTCAGGGACGAGGGGGAGGTCGCCGCGGGGGGGGTCCCGACGGCGGCCGGGCCACAGGGGACACGGGGAGGGCCCCTCAGGTGCCACCAAAGTGTCAGGAGACACCGGGACGGTCCCTAAGGGGGGACCGGCAGACCGAGGGACACCGGGAGGGCCCCTCAGCAGTGGCTGAGTGCGGCGGCAGCGACCAGGGAACCCGAGGGACACCGAGAAGGTCCCCGAGAAGTGGCCAGGGGACACCGGGACGGTCCCTAAGGGGTGATCAGGAAACCGGGAAGGTCCCCGACGGGTGACCGGGATCCCAGGGGACACCGGCAGCGTCCCCCAAGAGTGACCGGGAGATCGAGGGACACCGGGAAGGTGCCCGAGGGGGACGCGGGACCCTCAGGACCCCGACGGGTCCCCGGGACGAGCGGAAGCGCGGCGCCCGCGGCGCTTTTACCTCAGCGGCTCCCGCGCCGTCGCCATGACGGCTCCGCCCCGCCCTTCGCCGCTCCGCCCCGCCCCGCCCCGCCCCGC